CATAATGTTTTTTGAGAAAAACTTTTTGGGTACACTGGGCGCCGGATCCATGGGCTAATACGCACGAAAAATAGAGGAATTTGCGCAATTTCAAAAAAATGGCATGTTGATGCGAAAATAGGCGTAAAAAAATGGTGTGAGTATACGTGATGGTTTCCCAACTCAATATGGATGTCCTCATAAAGTTTTTTGAGAAAAATATTTTGGGTGCTCCGGACGCCAAATCAATGGACTAGACACGAAAAATAGAGCAATTTGCGCAATTCCTAAAATAAAGGCGTAGATGCGGAAATGGGCGTGAAAAAAATGGTGTGAGTATACGTTATGGTTCCGTAACTTAATATGGATATCCTCATAAAGATTTTTGAGGAAAAAAATTTGGGTGCTCCGGGCGCCAAATCCATGGGCTAATCCACACGAAAAATAGAGCAATTTGCGCGATTTCTAAAAAATGGCTTGTAGATGCTGAAATTGGTGTTAAACAAATGGTGTGAGTATACATGATGGTTCCCCAAACTCAATACGGAGGTCCTCATAAAGTTTTTTGAGAAAAAAAAATTGGGTGCTCTGGGCGACCGATAGATGGGCTAATACACACAAAAAATAGAGTAATTTGCTTGATTCATAAAAAATACCTTGTAGATGCGAAAATGGGCGTGAAAAAACTGGTGTGAGTACACGTGATGGTTTCTCAACTCAATACGAAAGTCCTCATAAAGGTTTTTGAGATAAAAAAAATTGGGTGCTCAATAGGCCAGATCCATTAGCTAATATACACACAAAAAATAGAGCAATTTGTGTGATTCCGATAAAATGGGCTTACAGATGCGGAAATGGGCATGAAAAAATATGGTGCAAGTATATGTGATGGTTTCCCAACTCAATACGTAGATCCTCATAAAAAAAGTTAAAAAATTTAACGAAGTGCTTTGGGTGCCAGATCCATGGTCTAATAATAAACACGAAAAATAAAGCAAGTTGCACGATTCCTAAAAAAGGGCTTGTAAATGCGGAAATGGGCGTTAAAAAAATGGTGTGAGTATATGTGATGTTCCCCAAACTCAATACAGATGTCCTCATAAAGTTTTTTGAGAAAAAAAATTTGGGTGCTCCGGGCATCAGATACATGGGCTAGTATACACAAATAATAGAGCAATTTGCCTGATTCCTAAAAAAGGCTTGTAGATGCGGCAATGGGCATGAAAAAAATGGTGTGAGTAAATGTGATGGTTCCCGAACTCAATACGGAGGTCCTCATAATGTTTTCTGAGAAAAAAATTTGGGTGCTCCGGGCGCTAGATCCATTGAGTAATACATAGGAAAACTTGTGCGATTCCTAAAAAAGAGCCTGCAGATGCGGAAATGGGCGTGAAAAAAATGGTCTAAGTATATGTGATGGTTCCCCACCTCAATACAGAGATCCTCATAAAAAAAATTAAAAAAATATTGGGTGCTCCGGGCACCAAATCAATGGGCTAATACATACAAAAAATAAAGCAATTTGCGCGATTCCTAAAAAAGGGCTTGTAGATGCGGAAATGGGTGTTAAAAATAAGGTGTGAGTATAAGTGATGGTTCCCCAAAGTCAATACGGAAGTTCTCATAAAGTGTTTTGAGAAAAAAAAATTGGGTGCTACGCGTGGCAGATACATGGGCTAATACCCACGAAAAAATAGAGCAATTTGCGCGATTCTTAAAAAGGCCTTGTAGATGCGGAAATGGGCATGAAAAAAATGATGTTAGTATACGTGATGGTTCCCCAACTCAATAAGAAATTCCTCATAAAGTTTTTTGAGGAAAAAAACTTTCGCTGCTCCGGACGCTAGATCTATGGGATAATATACACGAAAATAGAGCAATGTGCGCGATTCCTAAAAAAGGGACTGTAAATGCGGTAATGGGCATGAAAGAAATTATGTGAGTATACGTGATGGTTCCCAAACTCAATACGGATGTCCTCACAAAGTTTTTTGGTAAAATATTTTGGATGCTCCGGGCGTCAGATCTATGGGTTAATACACACCAAATATAGAAGAATTTGCGTGATTCCTTTAAAAGGCCATGTAGATGCAGAAATGGGCGTGAAGAAATTGGTGTGAGTATACGTGATTGTTCCCCAACTCAAAACAGATGTCCTCATAAAGGTTTTTGAGAAAACAATTTGGTGCTCCGGGCACCATATCCATGGTAATACACGCGAAAATAGAGGGATTTGAGCAATTCCTAAAAAAGAACTTTTATATGCGAAAATGGGTGTGAAAAAAATAGTGTGAGTATACATGATGGTTCCCAAACTCAATACGGATGTCCTCATAAAGTTTTTGGAGAAAAACTTTTTAGGTGCTCCTGGCGCCATATCCATGGGCTAATAAACACTAAAAAATAGAGCAATTTGCGTGATTCCTAAAAACGGGTCTGTAGATGCGAAAATAGGCATGAAAGAAATGGTTTGAGTATACATTATGGGTCACCAACTCAATAAGGAGGTCCTTATAAAGTTTTTTGAGAAATTTTTTTTTGGGTGTTCCGGGCGCCAGATCAATGGGATAATACACACGAAAAATAAAGCAATTTGCGCGATTCCTAAAAAAGGGCATGTAGATGCAGAAATGGAGGTGAGATAAATGGTGCGAGTATACGTGGTGGTTCCCCAACTCAATGCGAAGGTCCTAATAAAGTTTTTTGAGAAAAAAAATTGGGTGCTCTGGGCGCCAGATCCATGGGCGAATACACACGAAAAATAGAGAAACTTGCGAGATTCCTAAAAAATGTCATGTTGATGCGGATATTGGGCATTAAAAATGGTGTGAGTATACGTGATGGTTTTCCAACTCAATACGGATGTCCTCATAAAGTTTTTTGAGAAAAAAATTTAGGGTGCTATGGGCGCCAAATCCATGGGCTAATAGACACAAAAAATAGAGCAATTTGCATAATTCCTAAAACAGGGAATGTAGATGCGGAAATGGGCGAGAAAAAAATACTGTGAGTATACGTGATAGTTTCCATACTCAATATGGATGTCCTCATAAAGTTTTTTGAGAAAAAAAAATTGGGCGCTTCGGGAGCCAGATCCTTGAGCTAATACACACAAAAATAGTGTAATTTGCTCGACTCCTAAAAAAACTGAAGATGAAGAAATAGGCGTAAAAAAATAGAGTGAGTATACGTCATGGTTCCCCAACTCAATATGGATATCCTCATAAAAATTTTTGAGAAATAATTTTGGTTGCTGCAGGCGCCAGATCCATGGGCTTATACACACGAAAAATAGAACAATTTGCGCGATTCCTAAAATAGGGTCTGTAAATGCAGAAATTGGGGGTTAAAATATTGGTGTGAGTATACGTGATAGTTCCCAAACTCAATACGGATGTCCTCATAAGTTTTTTGATAAAAAAATTTTGGGTGCTCCGGGCGCTAGATACATGGGCCTCATAAAGATTTTTTAGAAGAAAAATTTGGGTGCTCCGAACGCCTAATCCATGGGCTAATACACACGAAAACTAGAGCAATTTGTGTGATTCCTAAAAAATGGCATATAGATACTGAAATGGGCGTGAAAGAAAATGGTTTGAGTATACGTGATGGTTCCCAAACTCAATACGGAGGTCCTCATAAAGATTTTTGAAAAAAAAAATTATTGTGCTCCGGGCGTCAGATCAATGGGCTAATACACACGAAAAATAGGGCAATTTGTGCGATCCCTAAAAAAAGGCTTGTAGGTGCGGAAATAGGCGTTAAAAAATTGTGTGAGAATACCTGATGGATCCCCAAACTCAATATGGAGGTCGTCAAAAAGTTTTTTAAGAAAAAAATTACTGGTACTCCGGACGCTAGATACATGGGCTAATACAAACGAAAAATAGAGCAATTTGCGCAATTCATAAAAAAAAGCCTTGTAGATGCGGAAATGAGAGTGAAAAAAATGGTGTGAATATACGTGATGGTTTCCCAACTCAATACGGAAGTCGTCATAAAATTTTTTGAGAAAAAATCTTTCGGTACTCCGGGCGCCATATCCATGGGCTAATACACTAAAAAAATAGAGCAATTTGCGCGATTTCCAAAAAAAGGACTGTAAATGTGGAAATGGGCGTGAAAAAAAATTATGTGAGTATACGTGATGGTTTCCAAACTCAATGCGGATGTCCTCATAAAGTTTTTTGATAAAAAAATGTGTATGCTCCGAGTGTCATATCTATAGGCTAATACATACCAAAAATAGAGGATTTTGCATAATTCCTAAAAAAGGCCATGTAGATGCAAAAATGGGCATGGAAAAAATGGTGTGAGTATATGTGATGGTTCCCCAACTCAATACGGAGGTCCTCATAAAGTTTTTGGAGAAAAATATTTTGGGTACTCCGGGCGCCATATTCATGGGGCTAATACACACGAAAACTTGTGCGATTTCTAAAAAAAGGCCTATAGATGCGGAAATGGGCATGAAAAAACTGGTGTGAGTATACATGATGGTTCCCCTACTCAATACAGAAGTCCTCATAAAGTTTTTTGAGAAAACTTTTTGGTGCTCCGGCCCCATATCCATGGGGTAAGACACACGAAAATAGAGTAATTTGCGCGATTTCTAAAAATAGGATTGTATATGCGGAAATGGGCGTGAAAACATAGTGTGAGTATTCGTAAGGGTTCCAAACTCAATACAGATGTCCTCATAAAGTTTTTGGAGAAAAAGTTTTTGGGTGCTCCGTATTAGAGATATATTTTAGAGTAATTGTATATTATTTATATTCCTTATTTATAGATTTAGTTTTCATAGTTTTAGCTCATTCATAGTAGTAAAGATCCTCACTTATATCTTCGATTGATTGCATTGATTTCCTTCCTGATCCTTATGGATCCACCCTCTTGTGTAAATACCCTATTCATTATTAATAAATTAAACTTTTACCTCTTCAGTACACTACTTTATGGTATTAGAGCTATTCCGCTTAACAGCCAAAACATTTTCTGGGCAATAATGTTTTTCAGCGGCCATGGCTCCTTTGAACAACATCTCTGATTCCCTCCCAAACCCAACAAATGAAACCAGTTCAATTTTTTTGGCACCCTCCAACAACATCATCTCCTTGAACAAAAATGACCAACTTATCTCCATCAACGCCGCTGCCCAAGCCCCATTGAAACTCACCACCACCAACTACCAATCTTGGCAATATCAATGGGAAACACTGCTTACTGCCTATGATTTTCTTCAGTTCATAAATGAGCCACCATCCACCACAGCTATCTCGGTCTATAAACGCCAAGACCATCTCATTAGAAGTGCCATGGTTGCATCCCTTTCACCAGAAATTATACCATTTGTTACTATTGATAAAACTTCCTATGTGCTTTGGCAAAACCTTGCCACGACTTATGTGAAGCCGCCTTATGCTCGAATAATGAGTTTGAGAGAAAACTTGAATACTATTCAAAAGGGAAATCTCTCTATTACTGTGTATTTGCAGAAAATCAAAGAGATTTGCACCAAGATTGCTTCAGTTGGTGTTCACATCTCCGCTGATGAAGTTTTTCTTCATGTCATACATGGCTTTCCTTTTGAGTATAATAGCATTGCCTCTACACTTCGTGCTCGTGAAACAGCCATAACCTTTCAATAGCTTCATGACAAGTTGACCGACTTCAAAGCTCATTTGACTCGTCGGTCATCCCAAACTGTAGCGCCAATCATGGAAAACACCATGTTGAAGTGTGTGACCATCTCATCTAAGAGCTTAAGCTATGGCCTCTACTACACCAACTATTGGTCCCACATCTTCCAGCGGAGCACCAGACAATGTTTCTTCATCAAACGGAATTGGGAATTCATCCAGTCAACACTCAGGTATGTCTCTTTCTCATTCATCATCTTATGTGAGTTCTACCTCTTCTGAACCCTTCTTACTTAATTACATAAATGATTCAGATCAAAATTCAACCATTCAACCCTCTCATCCCATGACTACTCGGTCAAAGAATAACATTCATAAACCCATTCAGAAGTTGTGTCTAAGTGTTATTGTTCATGATTCTGCCAATCTCAATGTATCACATGTCTCACCATTAACCAAACCATCCCAAGCCAAAACAACCTTCTTCCCTACCCAAGCCAATAGTACCTCGCACTGTTCGTCAAGCTTTAAAAGGTCCAAATTGGTGTGCTGCTATGAATGCAGAGATTTCAGCATTGCAAAGTCAAGGCACTTGGTCTCTTGTGACATTTGTCCCTCATGCCAAATCGGTGGACTCCAAATGGGTATTTCGTGTTAAATACAATTCAGATGGTAGCATTGGATGTTATAAAGCTCGGTTGGTTGCTAAAGGTTATCTTCAATGACCTGGTATGGATTATTTTGAGACCTACTCACCTGTTGCTAAACATACTGCAGTGAGAGTTGTTCTTTCTCTCGCGGTCTCTAAAGATTGGCCGCTTAAGCAATTAGATGTCAATATTGCATTTCTACATGGGAATTTATCAGAAGAAGTTTACATGTCTCAGCCACCTGGATTTGTCAATGAGAAGTTTCCTAATCATATTTGTCAATTACATAAGGCTATCTATGGCTTAAAGCTGGCTCCACGCGCCTGGTATGATGAACTAAAAGCCTATCTTTTGTCTCTTGGTTTTCATCACTTTCAGTGCGATCATTGTCTTTTCATCTAAGCAAAATCTGGTGTTATCATCTATCTAGTAGTTTATGTTGACGATCTCACAATTATTGGCAATCAGTCTCACTATGTTGAAGAATTTATCAAACAGCTTGGCACTCAGTTCTCCATAAAAGATCTTGGTGATCTGAATTTCTTTTTGGGAGTTAAAGCTATTGTTCACCTCTTGGTCTATTTCTTAACCAACAGAAATATCTATGTAATATACTTGACAGAACCAACATGACAGATGCAAAACCAGTGAGGACACCTATCGCTTGTGGTTTATGTCCAGGTTCTAAAGATGGTTCTCCTCTTGAAGATCCAACGCAGTACAGGAATGTAGTTGGAAGCTTGCAGTATTTGATGTTTACTCGTCCAGATTTTTCTTTTATAGTTAACAAGTTGTCCCACGATAACCCATTGGACCATGGCAAAACGTGTCTTGCGCTATCTAGCTGGGACATCAGATTGTGGTCTATTTCTTTAGAAAGAATCTCCTATTTTACTTCATGCCTACTCTGACTTTGATTGGGCTGGTGATCGCGATGATTGCTCGTCTACTACAGCCTATGTTGTGTTTATTGGTTGTCATCTAGTCTCATGGAGTTCTAAGAAACAATGAGTTGTGGCTCGTTCTTTGACGGAGGCAGAATACAGGGCCATCGCCTCTACCACTGCTGAACTTTGTTGGGTGCGTAATCTTCTTAAGGAGTTGTGTTGTACTCCCGCTAATACACTGGTCATCTACTACGATAATCTTGGTGCTACATATGTTTGTGCTAACCCTGTGTTCCACTCTCACATGAAGCATATTGAACTTGATTATCATTTTGTCCGTAAATTAGTCCAGCAAGGTATTCTTCGGGTTTCTCATGTTTCCTCAAAGGACCAACTAGTTGATATGCTCACAAAACCTCTTCCAAGTGGATCTTTTGAGCTGTTACGTTCTAAGATTGGCATCTCTGATCGACCTACCATCTTGTGGGGGCATATTAGAGATATATCTTATAGTAATTGTATATTATTTATATTCCATATTTACAGATTTAGTTTCCATAGTTTTAGCTCATTCATAACAGTAAAGATCATCACTTATATCTTGGATTGATTGTATTGATTTCCTTCCTGATCCTTATGGATCCACTCTCTTGTATAAATACCCTATTCATTATTAATGAATTAGACTTTTACCTCTTCATTAACCTACTTTACTCCGGGCACCATATCTGTAAGCTAATACACACGAAAAATAGAGCAATTTGCGTGATTCCTAAAAAAGGGCCTGGAGATGCGAAAATACGCATAAAAGAAATGGTGTGAGTATACGTGATGGTTCCCCAACTTAATAAGGAGGCCCTCATAAAGTTTTTTAAGAAAAAATTTTGAGTGTTCCGGGTGCCATTTCCATGGGCTAATACATACGAAAAATAGAGCAATTTGCGTGATCTCTAAAAAATGGTCTATAGATGCGGAAATGGGTATGAAAAAAATGGTGTGAGTATAAGTGATGGTTCCCCAACTCAATACGGAGGTCCTCATAAAGTTTTTGAGAAAAATTTTTGGTGCTTCGGGTGCCAAATCCATGGACTAATACAAACAAAAATAGAGGAATTTGCGCAATTCCTAAAAAAGAGCTTGTATATGCGGAAATGGGCATGAAAAAATGGTGAGTTTACGTTATGGTTCCAAAACTCAATACGAATGTCGTCATAAATGTTTTGGATAAAAAAAATTTGGGTGATCCGAGCGCCAGATCCATGGGATAATACACACGAAAAATAGAGCAATTTATGTGATTCCTATAAAAGGGCATGTAGATGCGGAAATGGGCATAAAAGAAGTGGTTTGAGTATACGTGATGGTTCCCCAACTCAATAAGGAGGTCCTCATAAAGTTTGTTGATTAAAAAAATTTGGATTTTCCGAGCGCCATTTCCATGGGCTAATACACACGAAAAATTGAGCAATTTACGCAATTCTTAAAAGAGGGACTGGAGATACGGAAATGGACGTGAGAAAAACGGTGTGAGTATACGTGATGGTTACCCAACTCAATACAGAGGTCCTCATAAAGTTTTTTGAGCAAAAAAATGTGGGCGCTCCGAGCGCCAGATCCATGGGATAATACACACAAAAAATGAAGCAATTTGCGTGATTCCTAAAAAGAGGCATGTAGATCCAGAAATGAGTGTGAAAAAAATTGTGTGAGTATACGTGATGGTTCCCTAACTCAATACGAAGATCATCATAAAGTTTTTTGAGAAAAATTTTTTGGGGGCTTCGGGTGCCAGATGCATGGGTTAATACACACGAAAAATAGAGCAATTTGCGCGATTCCTAAAAAAGGGTAAGTACATGCGAAAATGAATGTGAAAAATATGGTGTAAATATACGTGACGGTTCCAAACTCAATACGGATGTCCTCATACAATTTTTTTCAGGAAAAAAAATTTGGGTGTTCTGGACGCTAGATCCATTGGCTAATACACACGAAAAATAGAGCAATTTGCGTGATTCCCAAAAAGAGCTTATAGATGCGGAAATGGGCGTGAGAAAATAGGTGTGAGTATATGTTATGGTTCTCCAACTCAATACGGAGGTTCTCACAAAGTTTTTTGAGAAAAAAAGTTTAAGTGCTCTGGACGCCAGATTCATGGGCTAATACACACGAAAAATAGAGCAATTTACGCAATTCCTTAAAAAGTGCCTTGTAGATGCGGAAATAGGCATGAAAAAAATGTTTGAGTATATGTGATGGTTCACCAACTCAATACAGAGGTCCTCATAAAGTTTTTTGAGAAAAAAAATTGGGCTCTTAGGGCGCCAAATCCATGGGCTAATACACACGAAAATAGAGGAATTTGCGCGATTGCTAAAAAAGGGCATGTAGATGCTCAAATGGGCGTGAAAAGAAATGGTGTGAGTATGCGTGATGGTTCCCAAACTCAATATGGAGGTCCTCATAGAGTCTTTTGAGAAAAAAAACTTAGGTGCTCAAGGCGCTAGATGCATGGGGATAATACACACGAAAAATAGAGCAATTTGTATGATTCCTTAAAAAGTGCATGTAGATGTGGAAATAGGTGTGAAAAAAAAGTTTAAGTATATGTGATGGTTCACTAACTTAATAAGGTGGTCCTCATAAAGTTTTTTGAGAAAACTATTTTGGGTGCTCTGGCGCCAAATCAGTGGGATAATACACATAAAAAATAGGGCAATTTGCATGATTCCTAAAAAAGGGAATTGTAGATGTGGAAATGGGCCTGAAAATAATGGTGTGAGTATACGTGATGGTTTTCCAACTCAATACAGAGGTCAACATAAACTTTTTTGAGAAAAAAAAATTTGGTGCTCCGGGCGCCAAATCAATGTGCTAATACACACGAAAAATAAAGCAATTTACGTGATTCCTAAAAAAGGGCATGTAGATGCGGAAATGGGCATGAAATAAATGGTGTGAGTATACGTGATGGTTCCCCAACTCAATACGGAGGTCCTCATAAAGATTTTTGGGAAAAAATTTGGGTGCTCCTGGCGCCATATCTATGAGCTAATACACACAAAAAATAGAGCAATATGCGCGATTCCTAAAAGAGGGCATGTAGATGCGGAAATGAGTGTGAGAAAAATGGTGTGAGTATATGTGATGATTCCAAACTCAATACATAGGTCCTCATAAAGTTTTTTGATAAAAAAAATTTAGATGCTCCGGGCAATAGATCCACGGGCTAATACACACGAAAAATAGAGCAATTTGTGCTATTCCTAAAAAGGACTTGTTGATGCGGAAATGGGCGTGAAAAAAATTGTGTGAGTGTACATGATGGTTTCCCAACTCAATACGGTAGTCCACATAAAGTTTTTTGAGATAAAAATTTTAGGTGCTCCGGGCGCCAGATCTATGGGCTTATACACACGAAAAATAGAGCAATATGCGCGATTCCTAAAAAGGGGCATGTAGATGCGGAAAT